TCTCTATGAACTCCATAAATGCATAAGGGATTCAGATCTGTGTGACTGCAAACTTCCATCCAAACTGTTTCCCTTCCCAACGGACTTTTAAAAAAAGGCGAAGGCGATGGGCAGTATTGATACACAGGAAGGACGACTTTGGCTGCCTAAAAAATCATCCAGAGTTTGCAGTGAACATTTTGTATGTGGTAAAATCCCTCGCTCAACCTTGGTTACGAATTTAAAAAGTCAACGCCAAAGCGAAAGCACCAGCTGTTCGCCCAGAAACACCTTCCACTACAAAGCGAAAGTCAGTCAAACAAGAAAGTGTGAGCTCAGCCTGTTTGTCTTCTGTACCTCTCGCTTAACAAACGGGATTTTGCTTTGTTGACTCTTCACATACAAAATGTTCGCTACGAATTTGGGATGATTTCTTAGGCAGCCAAAAGTTTCCGTTTTTGGTCCTCCCTGTGGATCAATACTGCCCATCGCCTTCGCCTTTCACGGTTTTTTTATTCCGTTGGGAAGGGAAACATTTTGAACGGAGGTTTGCGGTCACACAGATCTGATTCCCTTTTGCAGTTATGGAGTTTGCACACTTCTGAAGCCCATTTTCCCACTGTTGGGACATCCAACAACCACACAATTACGATGTTTGAATCCCGAGACTAAAATATGACAGTATCAGAACCAGAAACAAAAGCGATATGGTTCAAAAGACTTGAAAAGATCTGCTCTGACAATAGACGCATCCCACTGGGAAATCAAACATGGCGGTTTGATGCTCACTTTTTCAGAGGATCCTTCCCAGTATGCATTGCGTGATGACCAGAAGTCTGAAATTCAGGACTGCATGTATTCAGTAGAGATTGTAGAGACTTTTGTCCTTTGGGTGGACCAGTTTCTGTCTGGAAAATGCATTTAAAAAGGCAATATAATCAAAGGACATGGGTGTGATGGAATCCTGTTGGGAGTACACCAGTGCTGACATAATGATATAGGTATTGACTTTTAGGTTGGGAATTTTACACTGCTCCCACTGTTTTTACTCATTAACACTGTGACTGTTAATGAAGAAGAGCCGGGGGTGATTAGCTGGTCAGTCCTACAGGAGGAGTGTATGAATCGAGTAGAATATTAGGTACATGTTTAAAGTATCTGTTCATTTGTGGTGAAAAATGGACTGACTGAAGTTGAAGTAAGGGTCAAGACGTCGCTGGAGAATGTATGACGATTATAACCTTGCTTAAACACATCGGAAACATGATCTTTCTTCTTTTCCAATTCTAGAGATGAGACAGTGTTTTGACGGTGCATCACTTTAATTAAAACCATGATAAATGCGTGCACAGATACGCAATAATTCTGAGGAAAAATAAGCGGGGAATAGATAGTCATCAGTCATTAGTGGCCAGCTTGGATTCCAGATGTAATTCTGAATGGTTTAATTATTATAATCGAAATGCACTTGTATTGTGCTGCACGGGCGCTACAAAGTCTTTGAAAATACTACTTAGGGTTGTCAGAAGTATCGGAAATTGGACACTAATCAATACTAAAACTAGAACTGAAACTAGAGCAGATTTGAGCAGGTATCAATACTAAAAAGTCACATTCACAGGACAGAAATTAACTTCCAGAAAGCTTTAAAATGACCTTGAGCTGTAGCCAAACAAGTATAAGAGCACATCCATGGACCACTATGGAACCTGCCTGGACCACTGAGGGATTACACAGATATAAGTCCACATGCTATTATATAAGAAAGTACTACAATTTAATCTTGAAAGTCTTTGTTATTATCATTGCGGTGTCAGAATCAGTATTGTGTATCGAGTCTATTCCTCTGTATCGAAACTGAGAATTTTAGTATTGTGACAACACTACTGTAGTACAACAGTGGCTTGTTACATGGACACCAAAATGTGATTAGAATCTGATTTCTGGACATTTAAGATGGTTTAAATCAGTGTTTCCCAACCCTTTTTTCTGGGGACCCGTATTTAGTCAATAGACATTATTCCTAAATCAAACTAAAGGTGGATTTGAGCATTATTGAACATTAATGAGGATATTTTATTGTTGACTGAACCGGCAATAAAACGTATCCATAAGTCGCCTGTTTGGACATTAAATGTAGCCAATTTCTTTTTCTTTTCAACATTCAATTGAACCTGCAATATTGGAACAAAATAGTCAATAAAATTATTACAAAAAGATTAGAAATTATACAAAACATGTCTTAACATTTCAGCATTTCTAATGAGATAGGTGGACCTATCTGCATCTTTGTAGTGTGTTTCAGTCCGAAGTGCAGGAGGAGAGCGCAGCACACAGATCACTGTCAGAACTGTATGCTGCAGATTTACATGCAGATCATTAGCCAGGCTGGCGCCACCTAGTGCCTCTCCTCAATTTCATTTCTCTCTAGCCACCATGTCAGGAAACGAATACACTAGACAGTTTGCAAGAACCCCGGAAGTTGTAGATCGTGCACCGGCCAATCAGCGAAGAGCTGTGAAGCCATGACGTCAAACTCAAGGGTCCCTTTGGTACAGCACAACAGTAAACAAAGCGATCAGCATGGATGTAGACGAAGACATACATTCTGTGTTGGCAACAATTCCCACGATCAAGGATTTGAAGCTGGAACAAAGAAAATGTTTCTTGAATTTTATCAAAGCGAAAGACGTTATTGCCCTTCATCCTATGGGATTTGACACATTACATACGTCACGACCAAATAGCAGCGATTGATTACATTTTTTTAAAAAGTACCTGTCTACTGTCGAGTGGACAAATCCTAATGCTGCGAGGTCAGATGGTTTCCACGAAGTGAAACCGGCTGATGAATCAGGCTAGCAGATCATGACAAGGTGATCAAAAAAAATCTGTGACCCACCTGAGGATCCCATTAATATAATTCAGGTTAAAATAAATGAAATATTGGTTAATGTTTAAGAAAGAAAGAACAAAACCCAGTTGGTCTAATAATGCATGTGGATTAGGGATGTAACTAATCACCTTTTTCAGTTCTGCCAATCCCAAATATTAACTGATACCAGTGTCGCAACCCAGTCTTTGGAAATGGTTTAAATAATATGCAAACCTTAAAATCAGATGTGTGTTACCAGAGGGACCATGATCACAAAGAAATTAGACGATACAAGTAAATTTAATCATCATGAGAGTGTATGTAGCCACTGTAGTCCTTCATCCAGACTCTGTGGTGGTGGGAGCTGCCCTGGAACAGACTGTCTTAAGCGAGGCTGCCAATCTGTGCCATTGGCCTGTCCAACATATAGGTGGTGTTTCAGTAAACCCATCTCAAATCAATACGGTTTTCATTCACCTCATGAAGGGGAAATTGTCCTCTGAGTTGTTACTTTAAGTAGGTCTGATACTAATTCTCACTCATCTATTATTCACAGCTTTACCAAAGGACCCAATAAAATATCAAAGAGGAAAAGTACATTACTATGAAAGTAGAAACAGCAAAAACAGCATTAGCAGTTGTTTTTAGGTGTGTAACAATATCCAAGTCTCATGATACGATATTATCACGGTATGAACCTCACGGTACGATATTTATTGCAGTATTGTGGGAAAGCTCACGATATGGTGTGGAGGTTCACGATGTAACAATATCCAAATCTCTCGGCACGATATTTTCACGATTTACATCTCACGGTACGATATTTATTGCGATATTTTAAAGAGGCAAATAAAACTGTTAATACGCTACGTTTTCCTCTTAAAATGCCTTGACAAGACTTAATCCAAAGAACCAAAACTTAAAAGTGCTTAGAACTGTTATTTCTTCTTGTAGTCTCCACCGAAATGGAGCAAAGGATCATGGTCTATGTAGTTTCCCTCTGTCCATTGCTGCACCATAACTCTTAATTTAAACAAAGAGACTTGTAATTCGATATATTGTGATGTTCCACGAGATTATTGTGAGAACTTTGACGTTACGATATCACGATATTACGATATTTCGGTTGTTGTTACATCCCTAGTTGTTTTTATCTTGTATATTATGTTTCGGTTTTGAAATGGTTCACGGTGGATCCAAAGATACAGGCCTACTACACATGTTATCTTCACCAGGGAGGCGCAGTCCACAGTGTGTTTTTATTCATGAATTCGTGCGTTTTTTCGAGCCACACACGCCTCACATGAGATCAACATCGCTTTAGTAAATGCACATTACGGCTCCAGTAACTGTATTTGAATACAATTAGAGAAAAACGTGCTATTTCCACGTTATAGTTCAGGACGTGTTCTCTCATTGTAATGCGTTGCTTAGGGGGAGTTTATCCTTTTCCATCTCGAATAATCAATGCGCCTTATTTAACACACGCGACCCCTTTGCTGTACAACACATAGACTTGGGCTATATTTTAATGAATAAGTCATATGTGGGTTTTTTTTTTTTTTTTTCTGAGCGTATACTTCCCCAAAGTGGATCGGGCACAAACGCGCGCGCACTGCCTCTCCCCGTGTGCTTGTCTTAGCGCGGGACTGCTGCTGTTCCTGCTGGTTATTATCCTTAACCCGAGGTGGAGGCAGCTATAAGCCCCCTGGGAGCCACGTCACTCCCCCCTGGCATATTACCCGCACTCCGCTGTCCGCGTCCGGCAGCACAGCGCCACGGAGGGACGACACGGCACTCGGCGCGAAATGCTCTGCGAACTCGGGCCAACTCCGGCGATCCTCCTCGGTCCCGCGCGATTCGGCGAGGAGACGTGCGCGAGCGGCAGTGGCATACAAGCGGGCTAAAAGCGAAACCCGACACCGCCGAATTAAGTCACGAGCGAAGGTCATTCAAAGTGGGAACAAGAAGAAGAAGAAGAAGGAGCAGAAGAGCGGCGCGACGAGCGGAGCCATGAGACGCGGCTGAGGGAGTACGCCGAAGAAGACAACATCTGTGAAGAAGTTGGGAATTTACGAGGAGCGAGAGGCGAGGAGCGCGCTTTTTTTTCCCCGGGATACGCGGAGGGACAGTCCGGATTCTAAAAATGCCTGTTAGGAGAGGTCACGTTGCTCCACAAAACACTTTTCTGGGCATCATCATCCGGAAATTCGAGGGACAGAGTAAGTCTATTTTGTTGTTCTTTTGCTCCAGCGTAATAATTAGCAGATAACTCCGATCTTTTGTAATCGAATTGTTGGAAAAGTGCTGAGACCAACCTACTGTATTACTGTATTGTTTGGAAATTGTCTGCGTAAGTGCGTATGCTTCCATCAGTGCGCATCTGGGCTTTTTCTTTATGATTAATTTAGACTTATAGCGTTCGTTCAAGCTGAAAACCATTGACTTTATGTATTTTTTAAGTTAAAACTTTCCCACAAAACACAAGACAAAGACTATTTGATCGCATTAGTTCATTTGTGGTGTTGTTATCATCAATTGGCACTATCGTATTGTCAATATTAGGGCTGCAACTAACGATTATCCGATTTTAGTAGTTGACTAGTCAGCATATATTGTTTTGATTAGTCGACTAGTGAGTTTTAACATTTAGTCTTTGATCAAATTAAGGTTGTAGGCTTCAAGGAAAACACTGAAAATCAGAAATTATTTATTGTATACTTTAATATTTGTTGTTTTGGGCGTTTTGGCATGTGTTTAAGAGGCTGTAGTCAGTGTAATGGTTGTCGAAATACAATTACAATTTAAGATAGAAACTATTTTAGTGGTCGACTGGTCATGATTCTACAGATAAACCATTGTAGCTCTTGTCAATGCAGCTTCCTTCTGCTCTTTTCCAGATCGCAAATTCATCATAGCCAATGCCAGGGTGGAAAACTGCGCTATCATCTACTGTAACGATGGCTTTTGCGAGATGACCGGCTTCTCCAGACCGGACATCATGCAAAAACCCTGCACCTGCGACTTCCTCCACGGAGAACTTACGGATAAAGAGGCCATCAACCAGGTCAACCAAGCCGTGGCCGGGTCGGAGGAGAGGAAAGTGGAAATCACCTACTACAGGAAAGATGGTGAGTGCCAAAAACAACAAGGGCTGCGATGGGCAATGAGCTGTCAGGGTGCTGATGGGTGCCGTGGGGGTAGTTTGGTGATAGGTGAGTCCCTTGGGTGCTGCTTCTCGAGGGTCACTTGGGTGCAATGAAACTGTCACTCCAAATGCAATCATTTAGTCGAATGGAAAAGAGGGAGTGTTTACGCCAGGCCAAAACTGTCATATGTTCAGAACAAGAACCTTGATGCAGTGTTCATATTTATATATCGTGATTAGGGATGGACATAAAATAAAATCTTCTTAATCGATTGTCACGAGAATTAAGGATTGATTTTCGATTAATCATGAATGTTGTTATATTAAAATTATCATCATTATTATTACTATTACTAATCTGCATCAGCCTGTTTGAGATTATAATGTGTTTAATGCAGCTTTGCCACATTTGTTTACGTTAAAACTTAAAACCGCATGGCTCATTTGCATAAACTATAAGCGCTAAAAAAAACAGCTCTTTCTTTGTGCGCCGATGTGGTTCAGCTTCTGTTGGACTAAAGGACACGACTCAATGGAATATACAGTATGTGTTTTTTCTGTGACAGAGGGATGTTGATGATGATGATGTGTGTTTCGCGTTGGAGATGGTTCATGTTTTTAGAGATCAGATGTGTGCAGGTTTAGTGCAGCTCTTTATTTAACATTTAACATTTCACGCACTTTATTTATGTTGGTCACTTTATTTATTTTGGCTACTGTGGTGATGAAAAGACTGAAAAGTGTTTGTCTTTTGAACACATGTGCACTCAACTTTATGTTGCAATAACCCGGGATACTGTGTGTACATGCACCATGAAGAAACCGGGAAACTCAAAAAACCTGATCATACCCGGGACACTGATGTGCTGTAAACTCACTGAGTGGTACAGTGTCTCCAAGGAGCCAAAGCCAAAACGTGAGACAGTGAGGGCGCAACTCCAGTGTTTGCCCTGTCAGACGTAGCCTCATCTCCTTACGCTGCGCACAGCAACCTGCATTTGGTTTGTTGATTAAAAATGAGCATGATTGACAAAATTCTTAACTACTCGTGATACATAATTTGGTGATACCGTATTGTTATCATGGGCTGCTATATCGATATATCGGCAGTAGTATATCGGAGTATTTTTGGTATCTTTTAGCAGTTTCGTTTGTGACTGCACTACAAATTTGTTGCTCATTTTGTGTAAGGAAACTTGTTTATGAAAAACTCTTAACATATTCACTGTTTTGATGATTACAATTGTTGTATTTCATAATCACTTTGCACAGGTAGTGGTTTAATAAAAAAATAATAAGTAAATAAAAAGTATTATAAAAGTAAAGGTTCTTAAAAAAACAGCAGTATATCACAGAGTATCATGTGCAAAATATCGATTATATGTACTGCCATATCGTAATACTATCGTATCGTGAGCCATGTATTGTGTATTGTATGAAATCACGAGGCCCTGTGATTCCCAGCCCCATTGTGCACAGAACAGATTTAATTGTTTATTTGATTAATCGGTTGATGGTGTCTTAGTTGACCAACATTTGTATTAGTTGACATTTAATTTTAAGGATTTTTATGGGACAACAGCAGAGAGGAGTTAGTCTGCTGAAGATTTGGCAGTGAATCATGAGGTTAATTTGTCTTTTATATATAAATACACCATATCCTAGTACTTTTCTGCATAAATAGTTGTTTTTACATGAACTTCAGCACAGGTGTACTCTTGTTTTGTGAGTGCAGTTTGGGTCAGATACACAGAGATACGTAATAGTTTTGAGAGCTTTTGCCACGCCCTGTCTTAGTCCACTAAGCAATCAGCAAGACATGTCTTTAGTCGACCAAGAAATTATTTACTGAATTACAGCCTTATGAACTATAATGAAGGAATACATCACAAGGGTATAGAATTTTTATTAAATAGTTGTTATAAAGAGGCTTTTGGCATGTGTTTGAGAGTCTGTAGTCCAAGTAATGATTATCAAAATGTGATTACAATATGAAAAACAAACTGCTACCCTAGTAACCCTGGTAACTGTAATGAAGGAAAACACCACAAATATGTTTTATGAATTCTTTCCAAAAACACACATGTCCAAACATTTTTCCATGGAATATTGTCAGTAGAGTCCGGCTGCTAACAGCGCACGAGTAGGGCTCCGTTTGGGAGGTGCACTTGTGGAGATAGTCGCTCTTTTTCCTCGGCGACTCATTATAAGGCAAGTTTAATTGAAAATATGATACTTTTTCCAAGTTTTTCCAGGTTTGGTGTGTAGCGTCTTCACTCACGCCTGCTCAAGCCGCCATCTTCAGGTGCGACCCTGTTCTGCCTCTTCCCCAGTTTAGGCTCCTCCCTCCACTAATGACATCACTCTGTTGCAGCCAATGAAACAGCGGCAGGTGTAACCCTGTTGTAATATCATTCAATACAGATCAGAACGTCTAGTAAACAAAATGTGAACTAAAATATGGTAAATTAATACTATCAAGTTTGTAAAAATATCGGAATAAATGTATAGTTTGGTTATTTAAATAAAATGGCAAATATTGGCAGGGACTATTTTGTCTTCCCCAAATATTGGTTGTGAAATGTCCCCACTGTCCTTATGCAAACCTAAGCCCTTGTATGGAATTTTTATTTAATATGTATTGTGAAGAGCCTTTTGGCATGTGTTTTAGAGCCTGTAGTCCAAGTAAACATTATCAAAATAGGATTACAATATGAGATCTACAACCTTGGTAACCATAGTAACGATAATGAAGGAATAGACCACAAATATATCGACGAAAGATGGAAGAAATGCCCTTGTGAGAATATTTATCTTATAAAATATGAAAGTAAGGTAATCAGAGGGCTGCAAATAGAACTGCAACATTAATCAAATCCAAATTGTAATTCAAATCAGAATTAGAGAATCGCAAAAGCTGCAATTATTCATGATACAGGATTTCCTCTGCAAACGGTGAAATATCCTCTGTCTCTGTGGGGTTTAGTGATAAAACCTGCGGGTTAAGACTTCTACAAACAGGCTTCTGTCAAATGTTAATGATGCTGGTTTGTGTGAAGTGTGACCTTTGATCTCAATATTGATTTTTGAAACCGATATTTCAAATTTAATGAACAGGAAATTGCAGTTTGAAAAGTTCACAAAACCGTTCAACTGTGGATAACAAAAGTTGACCTTAAAAAAAAAAAAAAAATCATCTTTCATTTATTCTGTGAAATAGATTTTTTTTTTAAATTATAAGTAAGACCTATTGATTTTGGACTTTATTTTTTGGAAATATAGATCTTAAATTTTCTCAATTTTCCTTTTTATGTGGATTAAAATGATACTTGTAACTAGGGCTGGGTATCATTAAGAAGTTGCTGATATGATACATACCTCGATACATAGGCCACGATACGATACATCCCGATACAGTGCACTTTCGATTCGATACAATATATTTCAAAGCGATTCGATACGGTTCAATAAAAAAAATAATGGCTAAATGTACACCCATTTTAATCATGAAAACACTCGATACATAGGCCATGATACGATACATCCCGATACAGTGCACTTTTGATTCGATACAATATATTTCAAAGCGATTCGATACTGTTCAATAAAAAAAAAATTAAATGGCTAAATGTACACCTATTTTAATCATCAAAACAGTGAAAATGTCAAACGTGTTCCTTCCACTAAACAAACAAAAAAACTGTAGTGCTGTAACAAAATAATTGAGTAAATCATACCAAAAAATACTATTGGCGATATGTCAGTACAGCAGCTCACAATATCGGTACTGCATCATCACATCAAATGATACGATATATCGATATTTCAATATATTGCACACCCCTACTTGTAACACATAATCATACGTAAAGGTGCACTGTGTAAATTTTCTAGTGAAGGTCCGCCAAATTGTCTTGAATGTTTCACAGTATGGTATTAAACCTTTTTATCTTCACACAGACCGAACCAGACCAAATTACAGGTCAGATCTGTGGAGAGGCGACCCCGCTCACAGTCACAATGTTTGTTTTTCTGGGTATTTTTGAGAGATAAAACCACTTGTAATTGCAAAAATGTAATATAGAGCTGTTTAATGTCATACTGTGGAACATTCCAGGCAAAGCAAGAACATCTCTCTACCAGAAAAGTTACACAATGCACCTTTTTGTAAAATCAGTTACATCTCATAGTCTAGTACACAATGAATGCTGTATAGTGCTGGTCACATGGGTGGACACAGAGCAACCAATTAAGATATAATGACTTATATTTCCGGTCATTTATTAAATCCATCCTCATAATAGAAAGAAATCTGACCTTAATCATATTTAAAAGGGCATATCCACTCAGTATTAATCTTGTCAGTAGATACAATCTCCAACCATAAACTATCCGAGCCGGACCTCCCATCCATTCATACGTTTTCCCGACATTTATGATAGATCTTGTATTTGTAGCCTTATATTTTGGTTATATTTTTATTTTGTTAGGCACCACATCACATTAATCTTAGTTTGTGGATAGATGCGTTGCTGTCACTGCATACATTGAGGCGTTTTATGTGTTTGGGGTTTTATATTGTAGATAATATATGCAAATTCCTCAGAAATCAATTGTGTATTGTCACACTCTGTCCACATTTGGGCAGAGGGACCTGCATAATGCAATTTAGATACATAACACTTTTAGATATCAGGCTTCAATTGGTCACGTATTATTGATTTTGAGAGAAATTGTTTTGAACAGGTTTGTAGAACTGGTAAACATCACTGGTCTTAGTAGTAGCAGAATAGTAGAAGTAGTGGTGGTGGTGATAGTGGTAGTAGTATTAGTAGTGGTTGTAGTAGTGGTAGTGGTGGTGGTGGTAGTAGTAGTAGTAGTAGTAGTGCTAGTGGTAAAAGTAGTGGTAGTAGAAGTGGTAGCAGTAGTGCTAGTAGTAGTAGTGGTAGTTTTGATAGTGTTAGTAGAAGTGGTAGTAGTGAT